TTTTGGGTTAGTGGGCGGAGGAGCTGGTGTGGTTCTTAATATCCCACCCATTAGAAACAGCACAGTTTACACTTTGTAAAAAGTCAAATCTGACCCCTCAAAACTTTCCACAGGCCCCTGGGGAACTCATTCAAAATGGCCTAAAATTAGTATCTTGACTCCGGGAATGTAAACTGGGTAAAAAGCATTTTTGTGCGGAACACCTTTCCGTGCTTAGAAACCTCATCAGTCCAACTCGGGCTACGCTGACCACAGTATTTTTGCATATAACTTACTTCGAAATTCACAAAAAAGTGCATATTTCAGACCAAATTGATTAATAAATGAGTGAAATCATTGGGAAAATAACTAAACCGTACCCCTTCTATCAAATAAATTAGTGCACCATATTAATATATACGTACATAAATTTGCAGGGATGAGAAAAAGAATGTGGGTGCGTCAGGTGGCAGTCCATCAACATGGAAGCATAATATGGCGGTACACCAAATTATTGGGGGAACCGCTGTTAACAATGCGGAAGTGCACGAGTCATTTTTATTAGTATGTATTTTCAGTTCACTTTTATTTTGTTTTCCAAAATATTTACATATGTAAATACATTTCCTAGGACACAATACTTAATGAATCCAGCCAGTCGGTAGTAGCACCATCTCCATCGCCTCCGTTAGCACCGTCAACACCTTCACCATCGCCATCCATGGAAGCAGCATCGACGCCCTCGCCAGTACCACTGCTTTCAGCATCAGCTGTGTTGCCTGGTGATTCATCTGCACCTGCTTCTTCTGGAAGAAAAAGAAAACGTTCGGGAGAAGTGATCAGAATCATGCAGGAACACACAGAATTGCTAAGGAGTGTTGTGGATGATACCAAGGTGCTAACAAATGAGGTTGTTACTGCCATAAGGGAACAAAATGACACCTCGAAAGAGTTTTTAAAGTTGATGAAGGTTTTAATAGATAAGATTTAGAAAATAAGTGTACATACACTCGTCGTAATAGCTACATATAAATCCACCACACATTGAAAAGTTTTACCCACTAACATTTTTATTATTAAATTTTTTTTTATAAAAATACATGTCTATTCTTAAGCAAAAACTGTACAAATCCACATTTCAAATAGTAGATAACTTATGCAAAAATGCATCTATATGTTCAGCTTTTTAATACGGTTTTTTAGAAAGATTTGTAGTATGCAGTTTTATAGCCTGTCAAATTTTATTAAAATAAAGTGCAAGTGTGAAGTTTCTGAAAAATTCCGCTGACTTCAGGCAATTTTTTTGTTTTCGGTTTTGGTAATTTTCCT